TCATTTTTTTTTATATATATATATTTATATATAATATGTATGTATAATTAATAGTAATAATCGACGCGTACACCACAATATGTTCAATGTTTTTCTTTTTTTAACTCTTTTGTTTGTTTCTCTCTCTCTCGATATAATAATTCGGGGGTAGTACACGCGCCCCGTATTCGTCTTTTCACCACCGTCGTTTTATTATTTTAAATAAATAAGTGTTTTTTCCCGTTCGTGAAAGCCATTTCTGGAGAAACGCGTGTACACCGCACAATATACACACACGCCTTTTATAAATCGTCTTTCTGAGGCACATTTTGTATGCGTGATTTTCACGAGTCGAAATTTTTGTCTTTTTCTTTTTCGTTTTGTTTTACATTATTTCACGAAGTCGTTCATCCTTTCTCTGCGCTTTCCCCTTTCCTCGACTTCTTCGTAGTTTTCTTCTTCGATTTGTTCGAGAAAGAACAGGGGGAGAGAGAATAGAAGAAAATTCGACGAAACGACCAAGCACTTCGACGATTCTTTTTAGTTTCGCATAATTTCTCTGCTTTTTTCTTTTCTTTCTTTCTTTTTTTTTTTTACACGGTTGATCACAGATAACGCGAAGAAAGGAAAATTATAATCAGAGGAAGTCAATCACGTTGGATCGTTTCCATCGATCTTTCGCCGCGTCTCGAAGGAGAATCGTGCTACCGTTTTTTTTTTCTGTAGAAATCGACGTTCTCCCACGACGAGAACGTTCGTGAATTTTATCCTGGGAATTTATTATATGTACATACATAGTATCGATGCGGAGGAGCTTGCTAAACATAGTATTTGCGATAGAAGATGACTGGTTGAGAAGGACTTAAGCGGTGATACTGAAGAATTTATCATAGCTGCTTTAAAATTGTAAGCTATGTGTAAAATCATGGGAGAAATGTTCTTTTATCTAATTTTTATATAATTCAAATAGTCACGTTTAGTGAAAATATAATTCTGAAATGAAAGAGGAACATGCATCGATTATTCTCTGCTCGAAATACTGTTTTTCGCAGCTCCGATCGATAATACGTAATCCTAAGCATGGCATAAAATTAAACGTATCTACAATAATTTAAAGATTGCGATAAGGAACAGTGTCGTTCGGGGATGCCATCTTGAATCTACTAAAACTCCATAAAAACGATTCAAATAAATTTAACAATACTTTGTAACCATTTATGCAAATACAAACTACTTCTTATACCATAAATTTTAACAAAACAAACATAAGTATGTGCTAAACTCCAATTCCGCCATCTTGCATCAAAGAGTGCACATAACCTCAACGCATAACTATCTTACCTAGAACTCTAGACAATCCCTCAATAAAAATTAATTCGAATTCTCTCATTAACCTGTTAACTGGACACACCTCTCAAACAAATGTTAAATCTCTTTAGAAAAAATTATAACCAACAACTTCATTTTGGTTCATGCAAGTGTGAATATTATATATTTGTATTTATATTTAATACAGAAATAATAGTGCAATTAAAAATAAACAATCCTTCAATAAATAAACTACTGTGTTCTAAGTATTAATGAACCAGTTAACAGGTTAATACATCTAGTACTAACAATGAAAAGAAGAAACATAATATTGCCCCAAATGGATTTATAGAAAATTCAATAAGGTCCCCGTAACGAAGTCCCGGAAATAGGAATGACGCAATGTGTCGCTCGAACAATTGATTCGAGATCTCGAAGGCAGCCAACGTTACAACATCACGTGAAATGCATATAAATATACATAGGAGAGACACGTATAGGGCATAGTGCGCGAGCTGGTCTACTCCAGGATGATAGTGGCCAGCCTTTTGGGCCGTTTCCCTGTCTTCTGTTTTCGGTGGATCTCCCTGAAGTCCTCGTGGTTCATCTCGCAGGATTGTGTTACCGTCACATCATCTCCATTCACAGTTTGCTCCTCCAGCTTCTTCTTCCTGGACCTGGTCACTGGACCAGTTCTATTCTTATAAGCCTCGTTATTTTCCATGTGCCTTTTGTGCCTCTTCGACTTTGCCTCTTCATCCTCGTCCCTCCTGCGCCTTTTCTTAGATGGTTCTTGTTGCATGATCCTTGGAGAATTCGAGTCAGACGAGGAGGACAGAGAACTGAGGTATTCGTTCACTTTGTCTTCGCCAAAGTCGAATGCACTTGGCTGAGCAGGTGATGCAGATGTGACGAGGTTAGTAGCTGCACTGGGTGGTCTGAGGAGCTGTATGGAAGGGCTGGAGGAGGTGGTGGAAGCGGAAGAGGAGACAGAACTAGAGGTGGAACGCTTATGTAGCTTCCTGCGCTGCGCCAACCTGGCTCCGTCTACTTCTCGCAACCGGAAGCCTTCTGGTTTCTCTAACAGAGAACTCGAGGTGTCTAACACAACTACGTCAAAGGGGGAGGCCACGTCGAACGAACTGGACTCCGCTAGCCACGGGTGATTCGCCAGGCCACTGGCTGTCAGTCTTTTGCTTGGGTCCACAGTTAACAAACCTTTTGCAACTTCCTTGGCGAGGCTGGACACGTGGTTCCAGGATTCTCCGTCGAAATCGATCTCCCCTGCCCTGATTCTGGTGGCTAGGTCCGGGGAACCTGTTCTAAATGGAGGCTTCCCCGATAACATGGAGTACAAGATGGCGCCCAGGCTCCAAAGGTCGCAGCTCTGGTCATAACCTTGCCTAGCGACTACTTCTGGAGCAGCGTATGGAAGAGTGAAACATGGAGTGTGTAGAGGCTCACAGCCTCGCTTTATCCTGGCGAAACCGAAGTCCACGATCTTCACAGGCGAATCCTCTCCCATGTTGGCGAATACTATGTTCTCTGGCTTTAGATCTCTGTGAACCACACCTCTGGAGTGCATGAAACGCACCGCAGACGCGAGTTGCCGCATTATTCTGCTAGCCTGTTGTTCACTGAAGGGCCTTGGCCTCCTCAGCAATTCTCCTCCAGACAGTAGTTCCATTACCAAGTATGTATGAGCCCTGTCCTGATGCACCTCAACGAGTTTCACTACATTTGGATGACCCTGGCAGGTTCTCAACAGGCTAGCTTCTCTCCCACAATCGATCCTGCGACTGACAATCTTCACTGCATACTCCTGCAACTTTTTCCTGTGTCTACACTTGCGACACACTGAGAAGCTGCCGTCACCTAAGGCTTCTTCGCGTGGATCCAGCTCGTAAGTCTGAAAGAAGGAGGATTCTTCGAATTTGGCTGCTAGAACGTCAGAAGCAGAAGGTCTTTGAGACTCTGTGCTGGCTTTCGTTGCTTCTTTAAAGATGTCCTTGCTGACTACGTTGTCTCCAAATAGGATAGAGGGCGCCACGTAGGAGTATCCTCTGAAGATCTTGTCGTAATTAGGCGGTACTACCGCTGGACTGTCAGCTGCGATCATTTTCGTGAATTCGTCAGAGAAATTGCTGGTATCCAGCTCGTGTGTGATTCGAGGTACAAATGGAGGAGGGATTTCTCGTCTCTCTAGGGCCTCCCAGCTGAACGGTGAGGGTGCTTTCTTGAAGAACGAATGTTCCTTCAGTTCCTTCGCGTCGTCTAGCCCTCCGCCTAATCGTTGCCGCGGATCCTTCACCAGCAGACGCAGGATGAAGTCTCGAACCGTTGGGCTGAGATGACTAGGTATCGGTGGATCTGTCTTCAGGATTCGACGCGAGATGTCCTGCTGCGTGTTCTTCTCGCCCTCGATCGTAAAAGGCGACGCGCCGGTTAGCAACTCGTACGTGAGCACGCCCACGCTCCACCAGTCGACAGCCTGAAAAATCGACGAAGCATTCGTTTGATACTTTGGAATAGAGACATTTTTCGCGGTTCGGTTATTCCTGGAAGTTTTGGAATCTCTTGTCGGTTGGATTTCGTGTTTGGTAAATGTGTTCGTAGTATTTTGGGTGTTTTGGGTATACATATGACTTGTGGTGGGAGTTTCTGGAGATGTTCTATAGGATGCTTCAAAATATAATGCACTACAACTGAGAAAGTTTTAATTCTGAGAGGATTTTCTTGATAAGAGGATTGAGGAATGTCTCAAAAATGGCGTGTTGCAAGTAGTGAAGACTTGAACTTTACAGGGATTTTGTTTAATTTTCAGGGTGTTTCAAAAGTAATATGTTACAAGTATAGAGAAGAATTTTGTTAGTTGTATAAGATGTTTCAAAAATAGAGCACTTTATGCAGGAAAGTTTGAAGTTTAAATCATAAAAATGTCCTTTATAAAAATTCTAATATTGACTCTTTCATTTTATATTAATTGTCTTTCTCAGAAAAGAACTCTTTGCTCCTTCTACTCTTTCATATCTATTACTTTATTGTCTTTCACTGATTATTAAGAAACACTCGTTCAATTCTGAAACGCCCCGTAGAAAGAGAAAAGAAATTAAAACAAATCGTGACTTCCTTGCTTTTTATGAGTGCATCGATGTAATCGGACGTTCCCCCAGCGTAAAGGAGAGAAATTTACATATGTTTTCTCGAGTAATTAAGGTGGAAGAAAAAAAAAAGAATAACGAATCGATAAAAATGTATCTGACAAGCGGGGAAGCACAGGCGCGATAACGAAGTTCCAGGAACGAAGGGAACAAATCGTGACGTAAATTCATCCTGACTCACAATATCGTGTCCCGCTGAGCCCCCTCGTACCACTTCCGGTGCCATGTACTCGATAGTTCCGCAAAAGGAGTAAGCACGGGCGTTGTTGTCCCTTTCGTGCGGCAGGAACTCTTTGCTCAGCCCGAAATCTGTTAACACGATATGCCCTTCTCTGTCCAATAGAATGTTCTCTAGCTTAATGTCCCTGTAAATTATACCCAGCTGCAACAGAAAAGCAACATTTTCTCTGTTTTTCATCGATCATCGTCCACGATAAGGTCTGTAATATTTTAATATTTCATCGTTTCAATGCTTGCAACGAAGCGTATGTTGGTCGTAAGCTTGAGACTATATCTTTTTTTTTTTTCACGTGGCTTGTGGAAACGTTACATACAGGAAAGATACATGATCTAAGATAGAACACATGCTGAGAATGGTCTTAGAGTAGACACTTGGATTAAAAAGATTCAATTAAGTAGTTGTCGAGTTAAATTGAAAAATCTTGAAAAAGATTACTTCTAACTGTACAATTTGATTTAGTAGAACTTATCTGTTTAATTATATTACACATTATACGTTTAAATCTTCGTTAATCTCAAGCTTCCGATCCACAAATTATATTTTCATAAAAATGTGTATGCTTCATCAACTCACACTGCTCGAAATAATAATCCAACGCTTCGAAGAATATCAGAGACTTACGATTCTAAAATGGTAGAACTAATTTGTGTGCCATAGTAGACCTCTTGAACTATGGATTTCGTCTGTATTCCACAATAAGGTTTTCAGGCCACGGGAGACCGATCTATATATCATTAGAGATCTCAAACCATAAATTCATTCTACGTAACGTATCAGACTTCAATTCGGACCCGAGTCCGATCTACGTACCATATTGAGAGTCGTCAAGTCGTAGTTCTAAATAAAAATATTCAAATATACCAAAGTTCGGAATATGATTCATCTTCAAATTTCAATCTATTCGAAAAGTATCACACTTTACAACACTGAAACAATACCGCAGCGAAGGTTTCCAAATCGTGAATCTAATATATCACAGTTAGCAGACTCAATTTATCGCGGTATTGGTATTTAAAGAATCAATCGTAAACGCGATTCGACGATCGTTTTTAACAGCGTGAGTTGACGAACATGATTGTCATAATGAAGAGGAACGACATTTACTTTGTGTAGATGCTCTAGCGCCAAAATAACTTCGCCGATATAGATTCGTGCTTCGTCCTCGGTGAAGTGTTCCCGTTGATACAAATGCGTAAACAACTCCCCGCCGCTGACATAATCTACAAAAACACAAAGTTCTCGTTATTTAACCTTAGACATGGACGATATCCTTAGATTTTTTTCTCCCCCTCTCTCTTTCACGCACCTTTCCACACACACACGCACATACAGAGAAAGAGAGGAGAGAGAAGAGAGAGAGGAGAGAGAAGAGAGAGGGGGGAGAGATGAGAGAGGGTAGAGAGAGGAGCGAGGAGAGGAGAGAGGAGCGAGGAGAGGAGAGAGGGAGGAGAGATAGGGGTGGGAGGGAAGAGAGAGAGCGGGAGGAGAGAGCAGAGAGGGGAGGGAGGGAGGAGAGAGAGCGGGAGGGAGAGAGAGCGGGAGAAGGGAGAGAGGGAGGAGAGAGAGCGGGAGGGAGAGAGAGCGGGAGAAGAGAGAGAGGGAGGAGAGAGAGCGGGAGAAGAGAGAGAGGGAGGAGAGAGAGCGGGAGGAGGAGAGAGAGTCTTACTCGCGCGAGCACGCATTCTCTCCTTTTCTCCTTTTCTATCTCTCTTCTCCTTTTTCACACTATGGAAGGCCTTATTCTGGCGACGATTCGTTCTTAAAATAGCCACAGTCGCAATGAGCCCAAAAAAAGAAAATCACCAATAGCACGCAGGAGCAAAATAAAATAAAAACATTGTTTCTATACCAATGGAATGTACAACGATATTTTCCTCTGTTTATCTTTCTTGAGGCTCGTCAACGAGATACTGGACTGTAACGTATGAAATATTCATTGATAAACGCGGCTACGTGCAGGATTTGGAATCGCGAGCTCGTGAACGTGAAAAAAAAGTCTGCGATAATTTTATACCTACTTCTCCTTTTGTCTGTCGTAGGAAATTCAGAGGAAATGGAATAGGAAACGACGATTGATCGTTGTAAATCATTTTTTCATCGACTATCGAAGCTTTTTTTCTTTTGCAACTTAAAATTTCTCGTAAATTAATGATAGCTAAGCTTCGTGAAAGAGTAGGAAATTCGTTCGTAAAGAGAAAAAAATTTCATTCATTGCGCGATATTTGCGTGAGGAAATATGCAATTAAAGGAGAAATGAAACGGCGAACGTTTCTGTAAGGGAAAAAGATTGCACAACGTTACAAGGAACGAGGGGGCGATGATGTCACGATTGCATCGCATTTTGAAAACCACATTGACCATTCGTTTCTCCGTCGTTTCGTTCGATTTCCTCAAGTGTTTTTTCAAAGTCTGATGGCAAACGAGCCGATAATGTATAGGTAAAGGAAAAAACCGTGCATAAAAATACTGGCAGAAATTTTTTGCACAGATCTTTTATGCCTGCTTTTAGAGGTTAAGACGTTGCTAATTTATTCGATAAACCAACTTCTTTATTTTCTCTCGTGTAAATATTTTTCACTGAATACTAGAAAAAATGCTCTTCAACGAGACTTAATATCACTAATTTACTACTTTTTCGTGTAAAACTGTTTTTAATATTGTCCTTTTTTTAATTTGCCAAGTTATTAATTTGTAATTATTCCGCCAAATGCTTACTACTACTGATTCATAAATTTCCACCGTTATTATCACAATTATATATTAATTTCCAATAATTACTCTTCGCAATTTATACCAAATGCAAGCACAATTATCCTCAGAAACAGTTACATTTCGAATAAAGAGAATTTCTACACACAGAAGCATCTCTATTATACCGCTTTACCATTCAAAAATTGAATAAACTTTTAACAAAAATTTTCACTAGTTTTAATAAAACAATAGAAAAAATGTTATTCTATTTGTAAATGGTAAAGCTACTTATGAATCACCCTGTACAATCTATAACCATAAAATCTTTTATCCTTCAAAATTCCCTGAATCAAGTGATCATATTTCATAAGCTACAGCCCAAATCATTCCCGCCTTTTCATACGCCATATTGAATCGAACACGTATCTGAACAGTTTACCTAAAATCAGATGGAGCTTCGCGTCCGTCTGAAAGGCGTAATGTAGCGTAACTAAAAAAGGACTGTCCCGTACGGCCTCCAGAACTTGTCTCTCCGTCTTCGTGTGCTCGGTCGTCTTCTTCTTTTGCACGATCGACGCTTTCTTCAGAACTTTCATGGCGTAAAGGCGTCCTGCGTCGGTGCCTGTTCTCTTTCGCACCAGGAACACCTTTCCGTAAGCTGCACAAAAGTTTTTTCATCTTTACGGTAGAACTCGACGTATCCCGACCGTATCTCGCGAGATTCTTCGACGATAAACACGTTCGATCAATTATTGCCTTTTGTTATCGTCGATCGAGCACGAATTCCGCATGTTTTCGCCGCGAAACGACACTTCTGCACGCGCATGCGTGGCCTAGGCGAGCGCCTGCGCGCCCTTTGCCTTTCCCCACTCCTATTCCCGTTGTTATGGAAACCACGTAACAGTAAATAAACAGTCACGATAAAACAGCGTGTACTTATCTGTCACGAAAAATATAATACTATCCAGGATATTTTATTTTGATACTTTTAACTGATTTCTAGAAAAAGAAATTTTAAACGATTTAAAAAAAATATAAGCTTCAGGAAACAAGAAAATGAACATCAACCTTTAAACAAATACACATTATACAATGTATGTACATCGTTGCATATTTTTCAACATATTGAAACACCTTCGACTCTCGATCAAAGCGGCTTAAGACCACTTTGTATTCAACCTTGTGATTCCATCTACTATCTCGATTTACGCGCTTCCATTCGTCGTATTTATAAATACAGATAAGATTACAGTCAGCTTTCCATATTTCCCGTTCTATCTCTATTTCCCGATAACTGAATACCCAAGACACCGCGTATACCGATAAACCCGACCGTATCCATGTTAACACTGAGAAATTCGAACTAAATTCCCATAACGTTGTTTCACCGTCGTTTCCACCATTATTGCATTCCTTATTCCCGTGTTGCCCTAAAGTTCGCAATTTATGGACACCCCGTAAAGGAGGTGGAGAAAAATCTCCGAAACGGTGGTTTAAAACTCGTTCGAGTCGCGATAAAGTCACAAGATAATATGTATCTGGTTCGTGTTTACGTTTATTACGTTTTCGGGTGCAAAAGAACGCGTCTAAACCTCGCGACGACAGCGTAAGTGATCGTAATTAAAAATTAACCGGTTGCTGAACGTAACGAAAGAAGCTTTTCACACGCGAAAAACAGTAGTCAAAGGGGAGAGTAAAAGAGGACTCTGGTTTATCGGCCATCGTTTCGCTACGAAGTTAAGGGGAAGGCGGGAAAAATAAATCACTTTTCGAGAAAAAAATATGTGAGCCGTTCTTTTTTAAAGTGGCATAAGTCCGTTTATTCTAAAATTCAGACATTTGAGGGTTTGTGTTTGAATTAAATAGAAAATTTTAAAATTGTAAACATGTTGAATTTTATAATGTGATAATAATTATTAATATTGTTAAAGAAACATAAAGGGTTTTTTTTTTAACTACAAATGGACTTATACTACTTTCAAGAAAAGCATTTATGCAGTAACATTTCACAGTTAAACTTCTTTCGATGAGTTCATGAGGATATTGTAGTGTATTGACTTTGTTATTACAAATATGAAAAGAAGACATCCATGTTTAGATGAAACTAGCCTTAACTCATTTTTTTTTTTTTCAAAATTGGACTTATACCACTTAAAAAAAAAAACAAAAAACAACGGCGCATATGTTCTTTAAAATGACACAGAATTTATTAAAATGAAACCAACAGAAAATTTTTTTTAATATTTGACTGTATAATCAGAAATTAGGAATACCTATGTATTTTTTTCTCCTAAATTGTTGCATATTTTTCAACTTCCTTTTTGACAGTGATTTTATTAATTAAATTAAGGAAATTGTAATACCTCGTTTAATGAACATTTTTCACCGTAGAAAAAAGGAACGGAGAAAAGGAGTAACATCGTTCCTTTGCTTTAATCGTGATTTCCCCAAAGTTAACATATTCAAACTTTACGCACCACTTTCTCAAAAACCGTAAACGAAACTGTAACAAAATTTCACTAATTTAAAATTTTTAATTTATATATTTCATTTTTGCTTGCGAGTAGATAGACAAAGGGAAGGGAAAAATTGAGTACTTTGTGAAAAATTGTATTTTTGGTTCCAAGCAATATTTTTAAATTCTAATAAAAAAATGTACATAAGAAGGTTCGAAGAACACGTGGTTAAAATTTCGTTTCAATATTTCCAAGGGTTCTTGAGAAAAAGATACGCAAAGTTGGCAAATTTCACATCGGTAAGGTAGATCTTTCCGTCTCCCTTTAAACACTTCTATAAAGGATTTCGTTCACGTACCTCCAGTTCCAAGGACCTTCAGCAAGTCGAAGTGCGTCATGTCTACCCTCTGGCCTCCGCTGTCTGCCAGGTTTACTGTAACGAGCAACATTATTCGATTTTATTCTATCTAGTCTGCGTGACAGATGCTGCTTCTTGCTTATGAATACGATATAATAGCAATGGTGAAGGTTAAGTGTGTTGAGAAAGGAAGATGTGTACTACGTATCAAAAGTCTGCCATTGCATAAATTAATTACAGATATTTTTTTTCTTTTCTGTTGGGATAGCAAGTTGAAAATGTGAGAATAATATTCTGAAAGAAAAAAAAAAAGGACCGATGTGATTAATTTCATTTCTTAGATTATAATATTGACTTTATAAGGGGACAGAAAGGGTTGCTGCAATTAATTGGTTTTCCTTTTTTTCTTTTTTTCAATAAATTGCTTACTTTATTTGTTATAGCATTTATTATAATTCAAGCACCTAGCAACTAAAAAATAACGAAATAGTAGAAGGTCGTCAATTATGTTCGATACTTATTCAAAAATTATACTACATTACAGATACAACACACATTTGATGTAAATGCAGTAACACTTAACGTAAACTTACTATTAAATAATTACTTGATTACACCTAACAAGTAGAACATACATTGTCGCATTTATTATTTTTCATTCAATTTTTCGATACTTTTAGCGAACGACCCTAGGACTTTGAAATTTTATCCCATTATATATGCGGCTTGATGATTTTCTAATCGTTTCTATTTTGCATCCAGAAAACAAGCAGCCACTTTCATCGGGCCTTGGTTATCGAAATACTGTTAACTGGACTTTCTATTTGAATGCCTTCAAACGAACTTTCGTTCGACGTACTTTCGAATTACCGATTGACTATACCCCAATCGATTAAAAGCAGGAAGTATTTCGCCGGTTCGATTCGAATCAGAACACCGATGTATCGTATTTAAACGTCCGGGCACTTCCGCGTTCTGGATGAGACATGTTGGAATACATTAAGCAAGACAATCACTGTAATCGTCGTGATCTTTGAAACGATGATGTACAAGTTACACGAGCTTCGATAATCTCAGAGTTGGTTAAGTCTAAGCTGGCACGAGTGAAGTCTAAGTTAAGTCACAGATTACGATTCCGGTGAAAGTACGAATTGTACATTTTCTAAGATCGGTAACGTAAGCACGTTGGATCTAGGATAAATCTAGATTCAATACGAATTACAACGAACTAAGTCGATTTGAGTACTCAGATTAAGTTTTTCGTAAGTCTAATCGCAGTGAAACTTAAAGTAGACTTGGAGTCTGACTTAAGTTCAAACTGAGTTACATTTGAATGTAACTTAAGACTCAATTAAGTTTAAGTTAGACTTACCACTGAAATTTGAGTTAACAACCGTGAGTTAAGTACGAAAACTGGGCTGAAATCAGGTCTAACTTAAGACACTTAAACTTGTACTCAACGCGTACTTAATTCAATTCTAACTTAGACTTAACTCAATTTACCTCGAGTGCAAATTAAGTCCCACTTAAACGACTTATTTTCTCTTTAACACCAAGTTTCCTCCAACATGAGCGAGAATTGAAACAACAAACTCAACAAGACTCGGACTCAAGATACCAGCTGAATTACTATCTGCATTCGCAGCTGAAGCGACACAGGGCCGAATTCAAAGGGGCTACACTAGAATGGCGCGAATAATATTTCCAATAATTGGAAAGGCGCGAGTTTCGTTGACTCTCACGATTAACTTTCTGCTCTAATTAATTCACGTTTTCTACTGTAAGAATCGATGAAACGGGTCAGTTCCGTTACGAAACCACTCTAAGCCAATGTGTTTCTTTTTTTCTTCTTCTTCTTCTCTCCTCTGTTTGTACAATTTAGGAAATACGATTTCGATTAAAGCGCACCCTCAGCTTATCACCAACACACACGTTTCTAACTTCTTCTTCTTCATATTTCTTCTTTTCTTTTTTTTCGAATCTTGTAAAATTATCTTAGGCCAAGGCTCTCTTTCCGTAATCGCTTTGTTAAACATATTTCATTCGATAAGGACGCGAACGGTTTCCAGTCGAACCGTTTTTAGACGCCTACTCCGCTCCGACATCTAATTCGAATCGACGTTTCGTTTTATTTTTAACTTTACTTTAAGCGGAAAACAGCCGTTTCGCCGTGCTGTGCAAACGGCATCTAAAATTAAGCGATCGAGCGTGTCTTATGAGTACATACAGAGATAAAGAACGGGGGGAAAAATGAAAGAAAGAAATTGATCGGTAGATCTGAAAAATCTTCGAATAAAATGCGACTTTGATCATTTTATCGCTGCTTTACAATTGGTAACTTGTAACACGCCTTTGGATTATTGGATTTAGCCACGTGTCGATTTTTTATTCAGATTAAACCGCGAAAAGAATGCCAGATTCGGTGTTCGAAAACTTTCGAGACTAAGCAACGATGTAAAAATGATCTTCAACGTTGGAAGCGTGGAAATGTGAAAAACAGTTTTAAATTAACTTCATCTTTTCGAAGCTACCGTTACCGTGGCGCGCGCACAAAGAGGAAAAAAAAAGGATGAAAGATAAAACGGCGAAGAGGACAAGAGAAGCACACGGTTGAATATTCAAATATTTTTCTTATTCGACACTTAACGTAAACTTTCGTCGCGACAGAAGCGTAATTATGATTGTCCGTGACAAACATTGACCCAATTTGTACGCGAGCGTTCGCGAGAACTTCTGTCCGAACTCGTTTCCAGCGAAGTACAACAATTAGAACGAAGACAGGGCACGAATTGCCAAGATATACTCAAGGTGCCGTCATTTAAACTGAGGGTTACAGTACAGTGGGTCAAAAAAAGAGGAAGAAAAAAAAAAAGGTGATGGCGCACCTGCATTTTTTTGGAACGTTCTTTTTGTCCACAGAAATTGCATGTTAGGATCGAGTGTGTCCTCTGGTGCCTTTTCAAATAAAACGAAGTGTGTGTCCCTTCAGGTGTAAAAAGAATGGGGGAAATACGAAGATAATGAAAATAATAGAAGTTGCAATAAGAGGGACAGTAATAACAGAAACAGTATGTTTCCTTTTCAGATAATTATTAATAGTGTAACAGTAAGGAAAATAACTAAATTGTATAATAATAGCGGTTAATTTTTATAGTAACATAATAATTCTATACACCTGTCCCCCGGTTTACACGGTACTTTATTTACACGGTTTCAATATGAGGGGGTCTATAAAGATTTGATCAAAAACCAAACACAATTGTTAATTACG